ACGAGATTGTGTGACTCTGTGCCCATGCATGTGCGACTATGCCGACGAGAGTGTGCAATTCTGCGGCCAGACGTGAACACCTCCCACGGTAATTCATGTGCGACTATGCAGACGAGATTGTGCGACTCTGTGGCCATGCATGTGCGACCATGCCGACGAGAGTGTGCAACTCCGCGCCCAAGCGTGACCACCTTCCACAACAATTAGTGTGCGACTATGCAGACGAGATTGTGCGACTGTGCCAACGAGAGTGCAACTCCGCGGCCAGGCATGAACACCTCCCACGGCAATTCGTGTGCAACTATTCGGACGAGATTGTGCGACTCTATGACCATGTATGTGCGACTATACAGACAAGAGTGTGCAACTCCACAGCCACAAATGCGGGACTATGCCGATAAGAGTGTGCAACTCCAGGGCCATGCATGTGCGACTAAACCGACGAGAGTGTGCAACTCAGCGGCCCGCATGTGCGACTAAACGATGAGAGTGTGCAATTCCGCGGCCCCGCATGTGCGACTAAACCGATGAGAGTGTGCACCTCACACAGCCTTGCGCACGTGACTATGCAGGCGAGAGTGTGCAACCCCACGGCCGTGCATGTGCGACTATACCGACGAGAGTGTGCAACTCCGCGGTCGTGCGTGTGCGACTATGCGGACGAGTGTGTGCCACCCCGTCGCTACGCATGTGCGACTATGTCGACGAGAGTGTGCAACTCCGCTGTCGTGTGTGCACCTCCCGCGGTCGTGTTCGACTATGCGGGCGAGAGTGTGCCACCCCGTGGCCACGCATGTACGACTATGCCGACGAGAGTATGCAACTCCGTGATTGTGCGTGCACCACTCGCAACCGTGCGCGTGCGACTATGCGGGCGTGAGTGTGCAACTCCACGGCCATACATGTGCTACTATGTCGATAAGAGTGTGCAACTCCATGGCGCGCATGTGCAACAACGTAGTTTCTTCAGAAAATAGAACAATAAAAGTTTGAATTTTTTGAAAACTTGATGTATTCCAACAGATGGGCTAGCATGTTCAGTACTTAATTAACTACAGAGCACAAATCAGCTGAATCCACTAGTACCTATATAGCATCAAATCGGCTGCAGAGCGATACGCGCCAAATCGACTACAGACCTGAAATGATCATATCCAACTCCGAACTATTACGTATGCAACTATAATTATTGTTAACATCAACAAAAAATTAGTAGCATATTATAGCTGCCCAAACACAATACTTCCGCTTCTTCTTTTGCTAAATTCAGTAGCATATTCAACAGCCCAAAGCACATACATAGCACCATCTTCAGTAGGAAAAGAAAATTCAGCAACACTCCATAGGAGCAACAACATATGCATCAACACAAAAATTCACTAGCACCGCGACCAAAGCAAGGGTAGAACTCCAGCCTATGCTGGTCTTGCAACACGCATGAAGTAGGTCCCTGCTAGCTAGTGCTTTCCCTTCCCTTGTAACTTCCCTCCTGCGTTCAGAAATGCGTCAAGAACAAAAGCAACAAGAATCCCGTGTAATCTGTGCGATGGTAATCAGGTGCATGCTAAACCTTTTCTCAGTTGCTTCTTATTTTTGTCTTATTTTATCATCATCAAACAAGCAGGTGGGAGGGAATGGGCTCAATCAGGACGGAGGGGAATAAACTCGGACGGCATCAGAGGAAGGAGACGACGGCCGCATCTCGTCGAGGATGATGGCCATCCCGTCGACGCAGAGGCCGTATCCCGTCGACGACTGAGGGGAACGACGGCGATGGGACTGGATCCGGTAGGGGAAAGAGCAACATGACGGTAGGCGGGATGTCATGGTGGGGGCTGGTGGCTGCGCGGCCAAGCCTCCCCTCAGCCGGTGGAGCGCGGTGGCCAGCCGGTGGAGGTTTCTGGTGGTCGGCGTTGAGGGGAGACGCCAGTGAGCCCCCTCCGATCCAGATCTGTAAGGAAGGGAGAATAGACAGAGAGAGAGAGACAGGTTGGGAGAGAACGAGAGAGAGGTAGGTTGGCTGCCGACCAGATGGCACCTGATGTGGGGACGGACGCGCGTGATAGAGATCGTGTGGTTCCCAGCCGGGCGCTCGATCGCGTCAAATCGTGCGCGGCCACTTTTTAGATTTTAGGTTTAATATGCACCAACCTTAAATTCTTCAAACTCTCACACGCACACACGCACACCCACCCACCCACACACGCACACCCACCCACCCACACACACACCATCGTGCTGCTGGTGACGCCATCAGCTTTGACTGTTCATTAGCTCTCTGGCACGGAGATGGGAGACATGCAGCGTCGTCTCAAAGTTGAATTTGAAAATGCACGTGCGTCTTGTTATTCTTTGGAATAGAAGAGTACTCTAAGAACACTAGCGTCAATTATCTGCTATGTTGTGGCGGCAGAATTTGTTTATGAGCACTCTGTCCATTTAAAGGTGCAATTGGTGGAGGCATCAGAGGGCTTCTTGAGCTTTTGGGGATTCTCAGCTGTCCGATTGCGTAGTAAATTGACATCAGCCATCCGATCTTATCTTTTTTTTAGAGTACGCAAAATGTGTACCTTAACTTTATAGAAGACAGAGGGTTAATTACAAGAATTACAACGGGTGGCTAATCCCACAGCGGGAGCCAACCCAAACTCCACTCCACTCCACACACTAAGCAACTACTCGGCAAGCTGTTGAACTCCTCTCCTTCGAGCCGCTATCCAAAGTCTTAGTTCTCGAGCAATAATGTCCGCGACCCCCCATTCATTGGCATTGTTGGAGTGCGAGAACACTCTGCCGTTTCTTTGCTTCCAGAGATTCCAGCATATCAAGATGACGAGCGCGTCAAATCCCTTACGGTGAGGCTTGACGATGCGTTTCCTGGAAACGGACCACCATGCCTCCAAACGATCTTGCTGTGTTGGGAGTATAGAAAGCTCAATGCCAAGTCGCCTGAAGCAATTGAACCAAACTTGACGAGCATAGACGCATTGCAGCAAGATGTGATCCACCGTGTCCTCTTCCTGCTCACAAAGAAAACATGGTGAGCTATGATCTTGAAGGCCATGTCGTTGCCTCCTATCGGATGTCCAAACGCGGTATTGCAGCGCCAGTCATATGAATATCTTGCAGGTCAATGGCGCCCAACATTTCCATATTGCCGAAGAGCATTGAAATCTGATGCCTCCCTCGCATAGCATTTTATAGGCGGTGCGGGCTGAATAGATACCATTAGAGCTCCATTCCCATAGTGGTTTGTCTTCAGAGTCAGGGACCAGGCTCATACCAATGACCAGATCCCAAAGCCGGATGAATTGCACCATGGCATCCGTGCTCATATCCCCAACAATGTCAGATGTCCAAGTATGAAGATGTAAAGCATCCTTAACCGTTCTCCTATTGGCGACCTGTGTCTTGATCATGGCTCTGATCATCGGAGCCACCTCAGCGATGGAGCTTCCATTGATCCATCTGTCCTTCCAAAACAACACACGTCTCCCATTGTCAACCTCCCATTTGACCAAGCTGTTGAACGCCATGGTCACTTGTTTGTCGGCCATCAGGTTCAGCCCTTGCCATGGCCGGAGATCGTCCGTACGCTTGAGCCATTCCCAACGCAGCAAAAATCCTAGCGGAGGCTGCCTCCCAGTCTTTCCAATTCACCTCCAGCCCGTCTCCACTCGTGTTTGAGCTCTGGCTCAGAGGGTGAGAAAGAACATACTTGCTCTGTAAACTAGTATACGAGCGTTTAGATCATTATGTTAGTTATCTAAACGTTTTTATATTAGTTTACGAAGGGAGTAACAATGAAGTACCATGATCACACCATTTGCAAACCATCAAGTGAAATCTATATTGTAAGACTACACTGGTAAAAAATTCAGATGGATATAATGTTTGTCTTTTTGCAGGGGAGATGGATATTATGTTATGTAAACCTTACATAGAGAAATGTTGGTATAAAACCAACCTGACTAAATTATCTAAGAGGAAACTTAACTAGGATATACCACGTGAACCACATACATCTTTAGAAAGAGTTATATCCAAAAGTGACAAGACAATAGTACCATGGGCATCAAAGTGATCATAGGCATCCAAAATTTCAGCCATACTAGTTGGCGGGCTACCATCAAGATGTCGTTTGCTTTCTCGACTTAATTTTCTGGTGGTACATCAGACTTCATTTTCTTCCCTGACACATTGTCAAGGGATGCCCAGTCAGGATATGGGCATTCATAGCACCAATCGGGGCCAGTATATCGCACACAATGCAGCCATAGTCCCTCCTCGTCGCCATCATAACTGCCAAAAAGAACAAAAGATTATAAAAAACGCCCGAAGAATTCATACTGATCTCGTAACTGCCTGCTACAGACTGATCTCAAAATGTTTGTTAGTTCGAGCCTGCCCTTTATGATCAAGTGAACTTGTAGGCACTCACCCGACAGGAGCGAGATTTGGACAATTCGTACACATTGGGTCAATACCAAATTCCAAATCAGCTTCAGCACCGTTGTCAGGATCTGATGATGGCAATGAGCACGCTAGTGAGGTTGCCCTATGGATACTCGTCCCCTTTGATGAACGCGGACAAAAATCCCCCGAAACATAGAGCTCATCATTAGCTATTGGGTAACCAAGGTGTTTTAGATGCACCCGTATCTACATTTTTCACAGTTTTGGAGAAACAGAAAATATGTATCAGCAATACACAAAACCCACAAACTTAACAAAAATATACATATGGGCAGCACAATTAAGATTATTTCTATCCAGCATGAAGCTTCTTAAACAAGAAAACAAGATGTATGGATCATGGAAAGGAGGCATTGATCGTTCAAATGTTAACTACGATGGCCAGGTTCTTCATCATGGAGGCCTCGTCTAACAGGTAGTTAAGACATAGTATGATTCATATAGTACAATGATATAACAGGTTCCGGCAACCATTAGGAGGACTCCTGTGTAGTGGCAACCGGCACAACACCTTGGCTCCGGTCATCTTCCAAAGGCTAGGTTCGTGCACGATTTAATGAACCAACCTCTGGCAGTTCCGGGCCCCTTCATTGTACAGATAAGCATTGCACAGCCTTCAAATCTTTCACAGTGTCGGGATGATTCACGAGCTAGGCTTTTAATTTTTATTACCAGGATATTTCATCTGTGTGAACGTAAGCAGACACACATGCATTTATAAAGGGTAAAACAGGATTAGGTACCTGGTGAGTTCGGCCAGTGACAGGTTTGCACAAGACAATGCTGTGGTTCCCATCAGTGCAAATCCTCTGAAACTTGGTGCATGCTTGTTTTCCACTTGGGAGGGCTTTACCAGGACCGTTAGAAACCTGTGGTTGAAAAACCAAACTCAGCATGTGTACTTTTGGACAAAAACAACTCACAATACTTTACAGACCTCAACAGTGCTCCTTCCTTCCCGTGCATTGAAGTTTACATTAGCGTCAACAGTTTGCTGCAAAGAAATCCAACTAAATAAAATGCATGACACAAAATAAAATAAATCAATCTAGAAATAGGTAAAGGAAGGCGTATCACAGGGGTATTTTTCCTTTTTCAAGGTTTCTTCTGTTTTAAAGAATTTGCCACTGAGACATTCCCAACCTGGTGGTTATAGCTTTTATTTTATAAATAAATATTTGCTAAAGAGTAAAGACATTCCAGGCCTGGTGGTCATAGCTTTTATTTTATAAATTTGCTAAAGACTAGGAAGTTCCACTCAAGGGACTTGGTTTGCATTCAGGAAGTCTGAACTCTCTGCTCCCGGCACAACATTTCTGATTTACTATACGGGTATGAAGCTAATGGCTCCCCAAAGTGGTGGAGTTCCCTTTTGTTGAAATGTTTATATAGTATAACTGTGAAGCTACGCAATTCGGTCACACGAGATCTCAAGATATTCTAAAAGCTTTTGCATAGTAAGAAGCAAAATCTGAAGAACTGAGACATGTGAATAACATAAACCTCAGGATGACAATGCAAGAAACCCTTTTGAAGTAGACAATGGACGGACCCAGTGCTAGAAGCTCCCACACCAGGTGGGGTCTGGGGAAGGATTATACGAGGCAAGCCTGTACAGTGCAATGCAGAGAGGCCGCATCGAACCCAGGACCTCTTGGCACAAGTGGGGAGTATTTCACCACTGCGCCTGGCCTGTCCTTCAAACCCTTTTAAAGTAGACAAACCATAAAAATCTATTCAACTTATTTTACAACAGAAACAGCTTCTGTTCATGGATCTAAAGATACACCATACAACTGTTGCAGTAAACAAACATCATTACCTCGCCTTCAGGAAATACACCAACAACTTTGGCTACATATTCTTTCTGCAGCAAATTAGCTTCTATCTGTGGTAACAGTAATTCAGATGAACAAACTATGTAATAAGATAAAATATCTCAATGGGCAGAACGTAAGGTAAGCAGACACACATGATAAACAGGATGGTATGCTGACTGTAGACTGCACAATGAACAGGTACGGAGTGATAATAAAAGGTGAGTGCTAGCACCTGTTGCCTGAAACATTCTGCTCGCTCAGCACTTTTAGCGAATATAAGTAGACCTGAAACTAACCGGTCTAACCGATGCACAGCTGAAACAATAATAGAGGTGGTCAAGGAATTTTTGGACATCCATAAATAGCAGTAGAAGTACAAAGATACAGCAAAAGGAAGAAACAAAAGAAAGTCCATTTTGTCATGCTCACATCACCCCATAAACTAAATTTTGCACAGATAACACCCCTGATTTATAACTTTGCATTGACTTAACCCTCTACTCAGGGATCGATGCTGGCATGGCTCAAGGATAGCCGGATAGGTGCTGATGTGGCTTCAGGTTGGCTCCGCCTCATGCTTCGCCTCCTTAACTGAGACATCACGTGAAGCTTCAGGTCCAGCTACGGTCATGGACTAATCTTGTTGTGGATCCTTGAGCGGGTGCTTGTGGCCTCCTCAACTGAGATATCACGTGAAGCTTCAGGTCCAGCTACGGTCATGAACTAATCTTGTTGTGGATCCTTGAGCGGGTGCTTGTGGTGGAGCAGTTGCGCAGGCACATGGCAATAACCGGTGAGATCAACCATCCCATCCCCACTCTGAATTCCTATCGACCATTCCATCCCCACTCTGAATTCCTAGACACATACGGCAACAAGGCAAGGCCCTCAATAATTGAGAAATTAAAGCACTGCAGCTGCAGCAGCAGAGCCAGAAAGTGAAGCAATCCCAACGATGTTGCTTCCATGTTATTTGCAAAATGTGCCCCTGTGGGTGATTTTTAATCCAATTTTCTGTCCCTTTTCTCTTCCTAACTCACTCATATCCCAATCCACACTAAAGAATCAGTCCTCTGTCAATTCATAACAGAGTCAGTGGGAGCGCACGAAACGTCACATGTGGTTGAGGATCACAGAAGGGGCACGT